GTAGTGATGCTGAAATAGGTATAGTATCCAGTATTGGGAACAGTAATGTTGACTGAGATAGGTGTACTATCCAGATTGGGAACAGTCATGATGACTGAGATAGGTGTACTATCCAGACTGGGAACAGAAATGATGATGACTAGTATGGGTACACTGTTAGTGTACTGCTTGGTATTTTTTAATGTATTTTAGAATACTAATGTATGAAGTGGCTCCAGGAAATTACAATTGTCTGTAGATACTCCAGCATAGCACACAGTTATCTGTAAAGTAAATTGTACCAAGATGAGACTTGGGAAAAATACAAAGTTTTCTATAGTTAAAAAAGAAAACATATACTTGTTATTAGTTGAAATTCCATTCCAGCTAGTTTTTAAGATTCTACAAAATAAGAAAACATGTGTTGCATAGCTTTTCTAGAAAGCTAGTATGTATTTTAATAATTGTTTTACATGTATTATTAAAGCAAATATTAATATATATATTTACTACATAATCTCAGGTTAAAAAATGTCTTATTGTTCTATGGTGTGTTAAAGAAAACACTGAGTTGAATCATAAAAGTCATGTAGAAGAATTAAATCTGAAGTTTCCAATATTAAGGCCAAACTGATGAAACCTTTGTGCATGTATTTCTTTTATATAAAATTAAGTATATGTACCTATATTTATATAAGTGTACATGAACTATCAAAGGTATAAAATCACGAGCCTATGTAGTTCAGTCTACGAAATGTTTAATTGGAGTTTCATTTATGAATGTGCCATTAATATTCCCCAGTTTATTGTTTTGTAAAAAGTTCTTGTTCTTGAGATTTACAGTACATATGCTAGGGAGAAGACCTGTATTTATGAAATGTATTCAGTATTCTGTTTTATACACACACACACACACACATACATACATATGGAGAGAGAGAGAGAGAGTACAATATTTGCTTCATTTTGCACTAATTCTATCATATATGTTATATGTATGAAAATAACACCACTCTGTCATTAAGTATAAGAATGGTTTGCAGTTGGTAAAGAAGGCACGTTTTTCATGTAAACTGTATTTGTCTGTGGTCTCAAGAGAGGTTTTCCCTCTATTTTGGACAAAGTGTCTAATTGATTTATTCTTAGTGTATATATATAGATATAAGCTCACAGATAAAGTCATATTTAGTTTTAAATATATCATTTATCCAAAATATTTACCTTTTAACTGCTTAAGATTTAGAAAGTTGATTATTTAAATGTTCCTCTGATAAATTGGCTAAATGTTTGTTACAAACATTTTAATATGAATAAAACAAGGGGAAAGTTAGCATGTACAAGATATTTCAAAGGTATGGTATGTGGCAGGGGAGGGGATGGATTCAGTTATAACTTTAACACTACTAGGACCTTTGTAGAGAAGGAACAGGTGAAAATATATATTAAATAACTAACAATGAAATAACACTACTAGGACCTTTGTATAGAAGGAACAGGTGAAAATATGTATTAAATAACTAACAATGAAATAACACTACTAGGACCTTTATAGAGAAGGAACAGGTGAAAATATGTATTAAATAACTAACAATGAAATAACACTACTAGGACCTTT